TCTGATAGTATAAATTAGTGGCTGATTGGTTGCGACCCCCCACACCCAATCACGACAGTTGCATCCAGGAACGAACCGGCAACTCCTTGAAATTTCTCAGAAAGCTGATAGAACGGTAGGATGCTGGAAAAACTTGAGACGATGGTAGGTGGTACAATGAAGGAGAAAGGTCGTATCAATGAAAAATTAACTTTTAGGTGCGGGGGTTACCCTGACATCGCCTTTTCACACCACGCGATGATACACCCTGCGCAACGCCTGTAAGCAGTAGTTGGATGATCCGTTATACCGATCTTTGGGTCTAGTCTTACTGAGACCAAACCAATCTTTAACCTCTATGAAGCCTTTTATTGTGGCTATATTTGTCTCAAGAGGCGAAAGTGGTGTACTGGTATGTGGCACGCTAACACGCGCAAAGTCCGAGGATCGAGTCCTTGATCGGCTCCTGCCCAGGCCAACCAAGCCTTCTGCCCTTCGGGACGGTGAATAGGCACCATATTTGTCTGGGAGGGTGAAAACACTGACTTGTACATCGGCTGGCCCGGCAAGTCATTGTAAGGCCACAACAAATTTGATAAGCCACTACATTCTGAAAGGGTGCAGGATGCGTGGTGCATCCCAAAAAGGGATTGATCAACAGCGAAGACTGTACCCTTTTATGTCCCTTGTGTTTTATGTTGTGTCAAATGCGACGAATATGAAGCAGTGGTTGGAAGTTAAATATGTTCCCACAATATAATAAGACACATAAATGTTATGCATTTTCTTCAAAGTGAATAGGAAATATTTCATTCAACTTCGATTGATCTTACCATTGCGCCACGCATTTGACTCACACGCAGATAGTGGAAAGTTGCAACTTCTACATGGTCCCATACCGCGCTTTCTCGTTCCTAAGGCCAAAGATGGTTGAAATCGGAAAGGCCTACTTAATTACCGCCTGATCATGCTTCAGTGCTGATTGGCTTCTGCGCTTGAAACCTTGAAACCCCTCCGGTCAAAGACGACTCCCTTCGTCATGT